CAGGTCTTTATCGTGACTGGTTGGAAGTCCCAGCCTGTGAAATCTGTTCGAAGAAAGTGGCTCTCTATAATTACCTCTAGTAACAGATATCTTCATGTGTGGAAGGCAGTTCTTTGTCCCTCCCAGTGCCAGTTAATGACAGAGCTCTCAGAGGCTTGTGTACTGCTTTCACTATCAAACTACGAGCCCGGGGCTGGAGAACTCAGCAGGGGGACGCAGAGGAAAGCAGGAGCAGGGCCACACTCAGCGGTAAGATTACATCTTTATTAAAGAAGCTGATAAAATTGAAGTAGGATTATTATCGATGGCAGGCAGGTTGAATAAGTTAATTCTTGTCCATAGCTGAAAGGCTGCCAGCCCCTGGTCTTTGCGTTAAGTCAGGGCAGTTAGTTTCGTTGTCCAAACTAGTAAACATTTCTCTTGCCAGTGCCTGTGCAAATCTCTACTAATGACAAATCTGCAGATGTTCTAAAAACTGTGACTTGGGGCTGTTACACGTGATTTTCCCCCAGCTGCAGGGTATTTGTTTAATTTTGATTAAAGGGAATAATATCAGTAGCCCAGTGTGTGTGGCTGTGGCCACACTCCGTCTCTTTCTGATTAAATCTGTCTGCAGCCTATATTACCCGGAACGAGGCAGGCACATTTAATCCACCTGCTGTGGCATGCTTGGTCTCTGTTGGAGGTCACTGGGAGATTAAGAAAATAACACAACCATCTGTCTTTTGATTGAGGGTACCGTCCAATAGCATCAACAACTTTATTTCTGAGTGTTGAACAGCTATACGCATATTTAAAAAAAAAAACTTTCAGGGATTTTTTTCAAGGTCTTATTAGTTCCAATTTTACCACTCAGTCATTTTAACTGCTTATGAATTTATATTTTTTTGGGCTAAACTAGACTTTTCTAGTTGTTGATAAAAGGAACCTCATCTCAAGATACAGCTGCTATAAAACTCTTCCAGAAATGTACATTTGTTTTTCCAGTGAAATACATAGACTAGTTAATGAAGGTGAATAGGATCTGGGTGGTACAAGACTGTGAAACACATCATACATAGACAGACAGGACTGTCCAATCGAGGGCCAGTGTTCAAATTTTCATTCAATCCATTACTTAAATCACATAATTACTGTATCAATTGGTCTGAGTCTTCAGGCTTGAATAGACCTGGCTATTCCATTGGACTTCACCCTGCCTGCCAGGAACCGTGGACCAGGGGAACAGAGATCTCTGTATCCTGCAGCAATCTCAAGAAAAAAAAAAAACGACCAGAAATGTGTTGAAATGGAGGATGGGAATTCACATGCAATTCACATGCATATTTCTGCTTGCAGGATTGTTTTTCGTGATCCTGAACCTTGTGTGAGTGGTGATAATGTATCTGCTCTCAAAACACTGATGTGATTGGAAGCTGATTGTAAATCAAATACTGTATGTGTGCAACCTTAAACGTAGTAAGTGAGGATTTAGACTTGAGATTATAGAAGATCACTTTATTAGCCACATACAGTTTCTTGCATTAGGAATTTGTCTTTTCGCAGACCCCAGCTTGCTCTCCATGAGACACACAGACGGGGGAGAGAAGCTTGGGGTCAGAGCGCAGGGTCTGCCATTGTACAGCACCCCTGAAGCAGCTGGGGTTAAGGGCCTTGCTCAGGGGCCCAACGGAGTAGGATTCCTCTGCTGGTCGTGGGATTTGAGCCGGCAACCTTCATCCCACAGGCACAGATCCTGAGCCACAGAGCCACCGCTCCGCCCCAGAGAGTAGAAATGATGGTGAAAGGCAGTGACATCATGCAGCTCTGCTTGACTGCTGGACTGTATTGTCTGGGTTAACAGTCTTGGGCTCCTTGAGATTGTTTCAAGATGTCCAGTAGGTTAGGGTGAAGAATACCATATCCAGGTCTCTTGAGGCACAAAGAGCTCGGAGAAGGTGTGAAAGTTTTGATACGCATGAATAAAATGGATATCAGTCTTTTATCTAAAAAATCTTCCATGAGACCGGAAACTGCCCACCTTCGTAACTGAGGGTGTGTTCAGGCGAGTACATGTGCTAACACCGTTCAGGCATTTGTGTTTTATTGACTCTTCCTTTCTTTCCTTCACCTGCTTGTTCTCTGTGCCACAGTGGCATGAGTCTGCTGAGGAGATCGCCACTGGAAATCAGAATGTACTCCGAACGGACTTGGCTGATTAAATAAAGGCCCATCACTACTAGTCCTGGCACAGTGAGAAGGTACAGTAGGTGTAATGACTAATTCCAGCTCTTGTTCTGTATCCTTACAAGAGCTTATCTTGAGAACGTGCACCTACCCATTAAACCAGACGGACACAGAGAGCTTCTTTTGCTTCTTTATTCTACAACACATTCAACATAAATTACAATCAGGACACACTTTGGATTATACAGAATATATTATATTTTTTATTATTTTTTAAACAAAGTACATCAGCCACACAAATGCCTCATTTTCAGCAGCAACATAACAAAATATTACAAAATAATTAAGTCCCTAGAGCAATCAATGGCAGAAGCTTTGAAATCAGTCCACATGGTTATTGGCCTCTCAGTTATGAAGAAAATGTGTCTCTGTATTGCGCCAGTTTTGCGTGTCATTTTGAGTGTGAGCTGTGGACTGTTACTGTTAAATCTCCTCACAGAATTAGGCAATATGTACATCTTGCTATATTGTATATTTGGTCATATTAAGTGGTAGCGCACAACCAATAGACATGGTTAATACACCATTTCGAAATACAAATTTCAGTCATTAAAAAGATTCCTGTGGAAAACATTTTTCCATTTCCTAAAGAACACTGGTAATTGTGGAGTGGCAGATGACTCATTTTGGCTGTACACATCCATTGGGCTAAATTTGGAAAAAAAAACTTAACTGTCTTTACATATGGTAGATATCAATTTGAAACATGGATATATGGGCTATAAATCAGTGCACATTTCTTTCGGGGGCCTGATCAACAAACCGAGTATTCTATATCCAATCTTATGATACTGCTGCTGAAAATCAACAATCTAGAGGTTAAGCACATTACAAGGTAAATAAATTACTATTTGTTGCTGTCCCATATGTCATTTGGTGGTCTTTCAGAAAAAAAACAAGATAATAGTATTGGTCTACAAGACCAATTTTGCTTGACCACAATCAAAACAAAATCAAATAATTAAGCCCTTTTGCACTGTCAAGTCACTAAATTATGAAGGAGATATGGCCGGGGGCCTGACCAATAATTAGTTGTAATGAGGGACAATTAAAGGGTGTTTGGATTTAGAATAAGACAACTTTCCATGTGCCATATCCACATTTATCTTTTAAGAAACCAACGTTTAAAAAGATCGTATTAATTAGCATGCAATATGGTTTAAACACTATCAAAGCTTTCATGTTTTTTGTAACAGCCAGCAAATTTGTAAAGTACACGTACTGTAGATGACCTCTGTCTAATAATTCAGTCTAGACTTTCTGCATCCTTCTTTAGAACTGTCATTAGCCCCTGTATTTGTCCTTTGTGAAGGAAACCATCCTAGACTATGGCATTACTAGAGAATGAAAAAATAAATCTAGCCTTTTACTAGTACTCCTGAAAATCGAAATAGAAAAATAACCAAGCATATTCAATCCTACAGCAGAGAGAAAGGCTCCTGGATAAGGGCACTGGTCAGTTTGGACCAGCAGGGTTTGACACTCATACAAACCCTGTGCTTGACCAGATCAGCTAGCTGGGCACCAAACCTGAACATGAAGAGCACGTTCTGGGTCATCATCAGTATATGACAGCATCCGTAGACCAAAGCCATTGTTTTCATAAGAGGATTGTTCCAGTACAACTGAATGAATGTGCATCAACAGCCACTGCAACAATGACCCCTTGCACTAAAGAAATGTTATGATATCAATTCAGATGAATGTCCAGGAGACATTGTCATTTCCATCAAAGAAATCAATGGCAGACTTGTGAAACAAACAAAATGTCACTGACCAGAACAGTACCTCAGTGCTAGATCCTTCGCCAGCAGGATTAAGGGTCAGTGGATCTGAGGAGCACTAATGCTTCAGTGAAAGAACAGGCAGTGCCTGCTCTCGCAAGGCTTTCAGAGAGGAAGAGGAGACACAGGAGTAACCCTTCCGGCTTTGCTAACACCCTCCCTGTTCCCCAAGCCAACGGCTAACCTGTTTTGACCTTTTCTTAACTACAACTCTGAACGCGACTTGGGATTAAAAGAGGAAAATTAAAAAAACGTACAACAGGACTACTTACACCAACGGCCAAATCTTTGGTCTTTTTTTTCCCCTAACGGATGAGCAAACGAAGGCTAGCCGGAGAATAAAAGGATGCTGGCACAACTGATACAGGTGGGGTAAATACTGAAAACAAGAACATAAAATGTATTTGGACACTGCACGTAAGAAAATATTTACATTGTTTCTCAGGAAAAAAAACAGCTTTACATCCATGTCTCAAATGCAAAAAAGTTCTACTGAGGTCCACACTCATCTTTAAGGGACAACCCCAACAGGCCAGGTTGTGATCGAAGACTTCTGACATCACATCTATGCTGCTGTCGGTGATGCAGTGTTGCTGTGGTAACACACGGTTTAATCACACAAGCTGCTGTCTTCATCCTTAAGGGTTTCACAGCACGTGAGTAAGCAAGAGCACAATGCTGGCTATCTAACGTTAAAAAAAACTTTAGCAAGATAGACCACCCTCTTCTCTCATATTTGCTTTCAGTTTCACAGAATGTGAATGAGGATATGAATTCACCTGCAGGAAGCCGGACCCAAGCTGTTGTAGTAAAGTAAGAGGGTGGTTTGGATCTGCAGAGATTGAAGGGGTGCTAACAAATAGAACTACAGGGGCCAGAGCAGCTCCATTGCAAGACCTGAACCAAGCCTCCTGCTGGTAATTAAAATGACCTTTTTTTGTAGGTAACCTGTGCAAAACTGTGCTGCTATTTTAATCCACCATCAGCCCCTCAAAGGGGTGGTGTGATTCCACTCAGCCTCCAGATGTTGGTGTTGGCCTGGAGCAGCAGGACCGGGCATAAGGGCACTGACTGAGACACAAACAGCGGGACACAGATGGTGTGTCAGGGGCAATGGTCTTTGCTGGGTCGAGCAAGCTCCTGTGTGGAGAATATGATAGACACAAAAGGTTGCTCAAAAACAATACTCGCAAAAATTCCCCAATTTAGGTAATTAGATGTAATCAAAAGTATCCAAAAAGCAAGTACTGTATGGTATTACTAAAATATTTACCTTTTAATTCTTCTTTATTAAATAAAATGCATTCGTTCCATGTTTCAAATCTGAACTATTTAAAAGGCTTTGGTAATCCCGCAATTAAACAACAGCTGATAAAAAATACCACCCCAGCCAAAACCTTCCTGTCAAGTGTAAGTCTTTGTCATTCATCAAAATGTGGCAATAAAGAATGGGACCTGCTGTCTCTGTTGTGTTAGGTTTTGCACTTGCTTCTGCAAAACCTAAATACAGGAGGAGTTATTCCTAATATAGTTCTTATTCTTTTGCTCTCCATCACAATACTATAGGAATGCATGATGTAATTTCCCCCTCCACTTTTAAAAATGTTTCTACAGATCTACTCTGTAGCATAAACCTTCGAGGTGTTTTAGTTTGGGGAAACTTAGATGGCAAAGCCTCACAATCTAATCTCCCAAAGCTAACTCTCTTGAACTGAAATATCAGCACTGGGCGCTAGACAGTGTTGTAGCAGGCACAGTGCGCGGATGACATACAAGAGGAAAGTGCTTCATAGGCCATGTGAGCAGAAGAGGATTTTAAAACATGCACTGCAAAGCTGTGTAGTTAGTCACAGGAAGGAGGAAGCTGTCCAGCCTGCTGCGATAAACTCTGGGCTGTCTCCTGATCCTGACATTTGCCACTGGCTGATGGGGATGAGGATGAGTCGGGACAAGGAGAAAGTCTTTAGTACTTATGAACATGGTTTTAATCCGAAAGCACTGGGGAGCGTGAATATGTAGTTTTATCAAAGCTTTCAATTTATATGGGACAAAGCAGAGGGTGATCTGATAGAAAGTGGGTTAAGATCATTTGAAGGGGATCTTGTCTGTACAAACAGCTGCACGAACATGCTGAGAAGGAGTGACAGTCTTCTCGCACTGTGACGCTCTGCATGGAGGAAAACAGACCCATGCTGCATCTGGAACGCTGGTGGATTAGCACAAACGCGCACAATAACAGGAACAAACACGCGCAAGGCAGGACAGAAAGTGGACAAGCCCCACACTCTCACGGTCGATGTGTTAACTGAACACTTTCCTGTACTATGACTGCCCACAGGGGGCTGAATAAGAAACTCTAAAATGACTGTGATTATACACGTTCCTCTTACAACAGCAAGTAGTGCACAGTGTCACTGACATGCTGCTGATGATCTCTCCTGACATTGTCAAATATATACCACAAAATATCGGTGCAGTTTTCAATAATTTAGACAATAAAGGGTTGAATAAGCACAAATTAAAACACTGGTATTTATCAGGTATCATTCATTTTGAAAACAAATGCTCCACCTGGACAAATTTTTGGCGTTTTCACTACTTTTTGCCACCGTGCTCCTGAATGAGATGAAAGCTTTCTCAAACCGTCACACAGTCACAGAGCGAGCTGCAGTTCGACTCCCTTTGTGTTCAGTGTGACATGTTGCCAAGAAATGGTCTTTGCATGCAGGTCTCCGATGTCTTGAGCATTATGTTCAGGCATAACACAATACGTGCTTTGCCTGTAAGAGATTACGAGTCCAGTTTAAAATATTAATCTTTTAAAATGTTTTCAGAGAAAAATATATTAGGTTAGGGTTACCAAGCAAATCTGGCACTGCCACATAAATAAACTGTGCAAATCTGTTAGAAAAAACAATATTAATCTCTCTTATTATTAAGTAGAAAATTCAGTTGCTTTTCAAAACACTGAACATGGACCCAATTTAAAACCAGTAACAGTTTGATATTTCTTAGAAGAATGTATGGGGTCCGTTTGTTGGCTCATGAAATTCTGCCTAATCAGCTTTTTCCCAGATGGAACAGCAATTGGACAGAAATACAGGAGCACCTATACTG